TGGACTCTCATTACATCAGCACCCTGTTCTATAAATTATGGATACGCCATGGTTGAAAACAATAGTTAAGACAAAATATATATTTACATTCGTTTTGTTGTTCATGTAAATTTCTGATAGGATATTACTTTAAAACAATGCTAAAAACACAGTGTCAATACGAACATTTACACATGTAAGACTGAGCTGAGCGACTCCTAATTAAGGTGGAATTAGTAGTGGTTAAGTGACGTTTGTCAGGCACTGTATTATGCGCTATAGAAATGGAAGACCATAATGTCATGGAAATGAACCTCTCTGGTATTGCCGACAGTACAATCAGTGTAAAATATAGGCCAGTGTGGATTTAAACAATGTCCTAATGGCAATGTTCAAAATAAATGTAAATCAAATAAATATGACTGTTGGGGTGAGAGGGGGTGTATCTATGTAGTTAGGCAGTTATATACTGTCTTTATGTCTAAACAAACTTTAATTTTAACACCGGGTCTCCATTTTAGAAGCTCCTAAGAGTTTCGTGGAGGTCCTTTTCGTCACTCTGTTTTTGAATATGTATGGTTGAGTTTACGTCAAAAAAATTGGCAAATATTGATGCGGAAATTTTAAAAAGTGTTTCTTTTTCTTGGCCGCATCATTTTTTCAACAGCATAAAAAACAATGTAATTTTGTGATTGGAACTAGGCCTACGTTTTCTTTAAAAAACAATAAAATTAAACCAGTTTTATACAATATTTACAATATTCTTGCCAAATAAAAACAGTCCCTCCCTCATCTATTACAAAAAAGCAGTTGTTCCGATTTAAAAAAAAAAATAAAAATAAATAAAAAGGCCCGTCCTATTCACTTAAAAAAAAAATAGTGATCTAATAATTTTTCCTATGTGCCCTAAATTGGCTATAGTGGGACACAGTGATAAACCATAAATATCTATACTATTCTTTTTCATTGTGTCCAATGGTTGCCGAATTGGCTATATTGGGACACAGTGATGAAGTACAACTGTCTTCTTTAATATTTTCTAAGTTAATCCTTTTCTTTTTCATTGTGTTCAATGGCTGCTAAGAGCACATAGAAAAGAATATTAGATTATCACTGAGGGAGGGCGGTTTTTTTGTTTTTTTAATCCGAACAATTGATTATTTCGCTTTTGTTTTTATTAGTGAGGGAGGGACTGTTTATATTTGGCTAGTAATAGTAAATATTGTATAAAAACTGGTTTAATTTTATAGTTTTTTAAAGAAATGTATCTGAAGTCACAAAATTGCATTGTGTTATGCTGTTAAAATAATTGATGCGGCAAAAAAAAAAATGTTTTTTTATTCCCGCATCAATATTTCCCGAATTTTCCCCGCGGGTGTCCGGGTGGGTGGGGGAAGGGGGAGTGAAAATCTAACAATTTTTTCAGTGCCCTAAATTGGCTATAGTGGGACACAGTGAGAAACTATAAATCTTGTTTTATAATTTCAAAAATAATCCTATTCTTTTTCATTGTGTCCAATTGTTACCAAATTGGCTATAGTGGGACACAGTGATGAAGTACAACTGTCTTCTTTAATATTTTCTAAGTTAATAGAAATATTAATTAATATAAGCCGTTTATGAGATTTTGTAATGGACTGCTTTTTACTTTTAGACGACTTAATTTTTCCCATTGTGTATTTCTTCTTCAAAAGCTTTCTTATCAAAGTACCGATCGGACGGATATGTTACCAAAAAAGAAGAAACTCTCACTTTTTGATCATCGACACTGCTTTAATTTGATTCGCTAATAAGTTTAGTAGTTCTTCCCATTATGGGCTCCCTAGCTTCCAAAAATGACGGAAGTCATAGTCTCGTTTGGTCCAGGAATATTGAGTTTTTTCCACATTGTTGAAAATTAATAAAATTCTGAAATTCTCCAATTACAGATAACATGGTAAAGTAAATTTATGTATAAGGATTGCTTTGTAACATTTTAATGTATTCCTATGTAAATTTCATCATATTATTTATTATAGCTCTGGAGTTGGAACATGACCGAAGTGTTTCATGTAAATGTTTCGTACGGAAAAAAAAAATCGCGATCTGACTCGCGTGTATATTAAGAATAGCAGTTGACTCTAGCAGTACTGTGCAAAGATTGGGTAGGCAAGGTTGGTCGTGGTACTGTTGTGGGAAACAATCAAAATAGAAGTAAGTACTAACTTTAGGCCAAGTTTACTGAAACCTTGCGATACAAACAGAATTTGATATTAGCTAGGTTGGCCTAGCCTAGGCCCGAGCCTTTCCAAACTCTCCAGTCACTAGCCTAAACTAACCTACTGATCGAAGCAAAATGAACACTAGGGCCTATGCCTACTCTGGTACCTTTGTCACCGTGTACAAACCCGATAGCGATACCGTACGCGACGTTGTGTATGTAACTTTAGTCACATGATACAATCTGTTTGTTGTTCATCGATTCGGTGGTATTTCATTGTCAAAAAATGCTTTAAAATGTGATTGAGAATGCTAGCGTTTTAGTCCTCTTTCAACTTTAAAAAGCAACGGTCCACCAAAAGCGACTTCTAGGCCTAGGGCCTAGGCATTCCAAAGACGTGTTAGGCTAGGCCATAGATATAAGAAGACTATATATATGTTTTTACACTGCTGTTAGTACTCCACTTAGGGTCGAAATGGCTCCATTTCATGTTAAATCTTATACATTTTTTATTTTGTGCTTATATTATCTGCCCAACACATAACATTGATCAGAATTTAAGTCAACACTTGACTTAAATTTGGTTAAATTTGATTTAGGGTTTGGTTTAAGATTATTTTAAAAATGTCGCACTGTAAAACATGGTAAAACTATTGAAAATGCCATGTCATACATTACTGTATTAATGCGTTCATGCAAGCTGTATACAAACAGAAATATAAGGAAGGATTTGGATCAGGTACTTCACAACTTGTATTTGTTATTGTATGTACCTTACTTGCGGGAATAAGCGCCTGGGCGATTAAAATGGTTTTTTTTGCCCTTTTTTGGGGGACGCTTATGAAATCAGAGTGGAAATTGGGAGGAACTTGGAAAATTCAATGGTCGATTTTTTAATTAAAAAATTATATATGGACATCCGAAAACCAAAGATTACAAATGGTTCTGGTGCAGAAAAGATAATCGTCCAGAGAGAATTGTGACAAGAATATTATTCTGTGAGTTTCAACAGCAGATGAAATTGGTGGTGGTGGTGTATAAGCTTCTTGGCCATCTGCTGATTGAGATTGGATTACTGCAGGGCTTCTTGCAAACTCACATGAAAACGTGCTAAAGGTGCAAATTGTCGGGAAAAGAAAAAGAGAAGTAGACTAATGTAAGAAGAGGAAAGTTTGAAAGATACTGTCCAGGGAGCTCTCATCTGTCCAGGAAAAAATATCCTCATTGGAAATTGATATACACTAAGAAGAAAATGTGTTGGGAATCAATATGGATGGGATCAACATGCTACGATACAGTATCAAATTGTTTTTGTAACTCCAATTTTCTTGTTAAACCATAAAGACAGTTCTTAATGTATATGAATTTTTAAAAAAAATTATCGTTTTCATACAAAAATGATAATTGCAAGCAGTAAATTTTTCATTGACTGACGTCCTATATACAATTCCTGCACTATCATGTTGCAGTGCGTGTTGCAATCGTGTGTTATTGCATAATTAGTAGACACTCGTCAATCGACACAAAGGCAAAAATCAGACAAAATGAGACATAAATACTGGGCGTACGCTGTGGTAATGCACAGCCGGCAAAGACCAGATATACGCTGTGGTTGCGCGGGGCAAATATCTAAGAAAAAGCTGTTACTTGGTCAGCCGTATTGTATGTCAATGCGTCTGATTTACGATGTATTTCAAGTTGTGAACTCGAACTTCAAAATATTTTTAGACCTTGGAAGATGATGAATTTCACTACAAAATAATTTATTACTGCACTCAAGTCTTCAAATTATGGGGTGGGATTATACCATTTTGCATGAAAATGACACCAAAGTCGGGGGGAGGGGGATTATACCAGAGGCTGGGCTTATACCTACGTTAATACATTATTTACCTAAATTTGTAATTTCAGTCCTTTCCACTCATGTGTGATTTTACTGTAGTCACTTTTTTAACATTCTTACCTTTTATGGTATTGAAGACAATCCAGAAGATCTACTCTCTCATTGTCAGGTTTTCTGTGACCAAATATGTCTGATTTTTTTACCATGGGCATCATGGTGACATTATATCGCACCCATATATTGTCAAATCACAAGTATTTGATAGTGTGTGTGCAGAACTTTTGGGCTTATAAATATTTTTTTATCATTTACAAAATAATAATAATAACAATAAATTGTTTCTTTTTCATCCAATTCTAAATACTTGAAATTGGAAGTTTTTATGAAGGAAATGCAATGATGTTACGTTAAGTACTGTAACAGCTTATTATCACTGCAGGCATTATTACAACTCTTTCACCAAGCATGCAATGATAGTAAACCTAGTTCGAGTCTTGTGGTTATAGCACTTTGGAGAAAATTTATTTTTGTTAGGTGCTATAGAAATGACAATTAATATTTATTAGTATTGTTATTTTTTGTAGAAAACCATTTTGTCATTTAATAAAAACATCCTTACCCTTTGTTTTGTACTCTTGGCTCATGAAAATAGTGGATGACTAAGACAAATATTTAGTCAATGGTAATTACCTAGTATGTTATCTACTCACATGTTTTGTTATCCATACTTTTGTAGAAATCCAATCAATATGGCGGCTGTATCAGTGATCAGGGTCATATTCATATCTGTATTGATAAGCTGCGTATTTGCTAAGTTTGAAGAAATCAGGAGTCAAGAAGAAGCGTTTCAGTACATTGCCAAGAAGAGGTATGCCACTCCAAAAATAGACCTTGTGGAGGCCAGTCCCATACTCTATCCTCTTCTAGACCGCATTGCCGATGAACTTGAATCAGAGAATTTTTTTGAGCAAACTGACCACAATGGAACAACTTCACAGCCTAGTACAAGCGGAACCACTACAGAGCCTAGCACAAACGGAATGTCCACTTTTGAGCCTATCACAAATGAAACCACTCCAGAGCCTGCAGCTACAACATTATCCCCGGGGACGACCACCACAAAAACCCCATATAATCAATGTAAATCAGATCTGGATACGCTCGGCATTGACTTTCTTAAATATTTTTCTGATAAATCAAAAAAATATGCTGCAATGAGTGAGTACTAAATTCATTCTTTCATTCATTCCATTTCCGTTATTTCATTTACAGTTTGTTGGTTTTATTTGTTTCATTGGTTTATTTTGTTTATTCTTTTTATTCTACTTATTGAGGGCCCTATGATTGCCAGCTAATTAAGCTGTTTTGAGTTATCCTCATTCTAAAATTTGATAAATAAATATATACATTTTGAGATGACATGGGCCCAACACAACAAGTGGTCATCTCTAAATTAAGATCCCTGGCCAACAACAATATGATAAAATATATAAAATAACATATGAAATATAAGGAAGAATTTAAATATTCATAAGGTCAATAAAATAAATTAAAAGAAATACAGTATAAAATTGTATTATTTGTTTGTTTTTTTGCTTTTTTTTTGTTTCGTTTGTATTATTATTTCATTAATATCATATGTTCATTGTAGGTTGATTGAATAGACTTTATAAGAAATATTGAGATGTTAGTCTGAACTATATCAGTAAAAAGACAAATATTGCTTTTAAACTAACAAAATATAGTCATTTATTAAAATGATCAATTTATTATTGGTGTTTTTCATACTATTTGCAGTGGTGGACTCGTATGGGAAAGTGCCACCGGGTATACTTCAAGGTAACACTCAATGGATTGGACTGTACGACCAGTGCCTGCGTCAAACGAAGGAGAAAACTCAACAGACCTTTGGAGCCCAGTACTGCATTGCACATGCTCTTAATAAGACAACGGTAAAATGAAATCTCTTCACGGTGTGGTCTATAATAATTTAACATTTGTACAGACCCCATGTTTTTGTTTACTTTTGGATAATACTCAAAACAAAATAGTAGATTCTTGAAAAAAGTAAAACGATAGCCAGACGCATTGTCTATAAATTTCAACTTACACAGCAGAGTACAGTGTGTATGTGAACCATGGAAGTAAAACAGATACATGGTATTCTCAAGATCCCCCCACACACTCAAAATCCCCCTTCCATAGCTCACTGTTTTGACATTAGGGTTAACATCATTGGCACAAAAGAAATTATGCATGCCTGACACTGTTCACACATGTTAGTTTAGAGTCACATGACAAATAGCTTTTTATGACTGATCATATTTATATATTTCTTGCCCTTCTAAATATCACACAAAATCCAAAAGTAAAAGATTGAGCATCTACCGGATTGTCTCTAATAAACACCCCGGGGGCGTTGCATTTTTTCAAAGGGGGGGGGGGGGGGGTGTTTACTAGAGGTGAATTGTAAAATCAAAAATTACCTAAACAAGTTGCTTTAAACGGTCAATAAGTTCTTGTAGAGGAACAAGTTAATGTGCAGGGTATCTCCAGGCCTCCTGCTATTTTGCTGTTCCTTCGTTTGTTGCTGGTTATTTGAACATCAATAATTCGTTGTGTTTCAAAAAGAAATGAAATGTCTTCGAGTTCTCTTGGGGTAAATGTCTGACAATGCAGCGCGGTACTTCTCCTTTCACAACAGCAATCGCGTGCTTGTCAAAAACATTGTCGGCCTCATGAACTAGGCCTAGCACCGCACCACCGCACGCAAAACATCTGCCCTCAACTTGAAGAAACATTCTCACTACGGTATAAATATCATTGACCAGACACCTTGAATCAAATCAGCGTCGAACACGCGACACATTAACAATACACGATTACCCGTCGTTTGCCGTCAGTTTGCAGCTTACCCTGTTTTTACAAGGCTAACGAAATACCATGAGAGAAACACAAAATAGGCCTAGGCCTAGTGATCGTGAAGACAGTAAACATCAAAAGTATTTATTTCATTTCATATCAAAGAAAGCAGCACACAGTACGGTATTACTCCTTGTTTGTCAACCTTTTTATGGACTGGATACCCATGTTATTTGATTGGGCACTCATTGCAAAATGAAAAAAAAAAACTCAGAGGGGGCGTTTATTAGAAGAGGGGCGTTTATTAGAGACAATACAGTAGTTATATTTTTGCTGTGAATGGTGATACCGTTAGCACTTACATTTGACAATTGAAAATGTAGTATTATAACTTGTAACAGCATGCAGATAATCATGAATTTGCAGAAGATGGGTCATTTCCAAGAGACTTCCATGACTTATGGGAGACTTGGGACCCTGGTCTCTGGGACTGGATGGACATACCAGATGTACTAGCGGTTGAACTGAATAGTGGTTGACCTGAGAGATCAAAGTCCTATACACTATCAAAATTGATATGACAAATATCTTAGATTTACTCGCATACACACAGGTATGAAGATGTTATACTATATATGGGCATATCACAGATATTTGTCTGGTGGTGCTGAACTGTTGAGAGATTTATAGGTGCTAAGATTCTGTTTATTTTTTTTAAATTTCTGTACTGTTGTTCCACTTTCAGAATGCGCAAATCTTGGCCGTTGGAATTTGTGTGCCTGACTCTTGCAGTGAAGGTGCTTTGGATATCCTGCTGTATGAAGGTACACTATTTCTCTCTTAATATACATTCAGCATCTTTGTTATTGTTTAATATACCCATTATATATAAGGTTTGTTATAGAATATCATATTATACAGTTATTTATGACATATTTTGCCTGATCTCGGTTGTCATAATCTTGGTAATTTTTATCAATTGGTTCTCACAACTCACTCTGATTGGTTAGTTTATTATTATCAATCACCCTTAAGGTGTTGTTTAAGCATTCATATCCATGCTATCCAATCTTGTGTTTTATTACAATGTTTCTGTAGTCACTCATCTTATGTATTTATACACATATGTATATCTGTATGTATACCTGATAAAGGGCATGCCAGAAAATGTTTGTGTACTCAGTAAACTATTTTTGCAATACTGGTTACCTCTCCAGATTTTTTTTATTTATTTGTAGTTGATTCGAAATTTATCATTTATTTTTGGTATTCTAATCATCTGTATTTTTTATATCATGTACAGTTAGTTATTTATATGATGAGTAAATCAAACCTCGAACCTTGACCTTGTATAAAAACACCTAGTAGTTGCTCATGCTTATTAGGATCAAACTTTATTTAAAATTTATATGACAATAAAAAATCTTAATTTAGTAGATAATTGTTAAATTTTTTTATTTAGGTCTTCTAAAGTTGACATTGGCAAAGGAATTAACAGCTTATGTTTCCTGTAATAAGGAGTTTGAATACAACGCTGGAGCGATTTCCTGCCTGTAAGTTATATAATATAAATTAATTTAATCAAATTAATGCTTGTATACATATACTTACTTAAATGCACACATAATAGAAAACTGAATTGTATAATTTTGGTGATCAGGATTATGATGATATTAGTATTATGATTATCCATTAATCATACTTTTGATTACTTTTAATGATATAATAATGCAGTCACTAATTATTTTTTTTTATAATGCAATTTGTATATAATAATAACAAACATTTATTTATATGTCTATTTCAGTAATTATTTAATATTTTGGTATTCCTAATGACTAATGCATCTGCAGTTAGTTTTTTTTCTTTTTATTTAATTAAAATTATTGATGTTTTACCTATAAACTTAAATGATAAATTTGTAAATTTAATTGATGTAAGTGTGTCCGTAATTGTTACTTGTTTTAAAATTTATGAAATTTGATTTTTTATAATTATTTATTAGCTTGTTTTGTCTTTGGTATTTTTTAATAACAACTTTATTTCGCAATTCAGCTCTGTACTGCTAGTAATCAATTTTATGTATATGTATTTTTGAATGAATGAATGAAAATACCTGAATATCAACATTTTCGTAGGAAGTTGGCAGTTGGAAGTGTTTCAGACTCCAATGCCAGTCAGATCTGGCCCTTTGCTTTGTTTATGTTGGGCACCTTCAGGTTTAGGTTACAGGGCCTACAGTGGTTATAGGCCTAAATACATTCTGATTTTAGGGACTTAAGTGGACATTATATATAAGGCTTTTTTTACGTGACCAATAAAGTATTGTTAGAAATTTAATTTTATACTTTTATGATTTCTCGGAGGGCACATTTTTCTTGTTTTGTTTTTTTTATAATGTTTTGATTGTACAGTATTTCATGTTTATCCGCTAATATTGCAATAAATAAATATATAATTTTTCGATAATTTAAATTTTAAACACTGTTATCTTCAGAGTTTTGTTGTCAATAATCGGAGTGCTGATTATAGCTGGGACAAGCTACGAGTTCTTTACAATATACTGTGTGTATCAGGATGATCCGCTCGGATTCAAGACACTGACAGAAGAGCCAGACATGATAAACCAGGAGGGATCGGTACAGATTCGCCCCTCCCCTACATCGAATGGAGTACACATGATGAGTGCTGAGGAAGGAAGCCAATCATATAGTAAGATTTTTTGCTTAGGCATCAACACATGTATTGGAAGGAGTTTAACTTTGTAAACCTTACTAGGATTAGTGGATCCTTAAATACATGACTGTGGTTAGTGACAAAATGGGGGAAGGGGCATGTTCCCCCGTTCCCCTACTGGATCTGCCCCTGATGGTGATGATTGCAGTGGTGATGATGATAATTGCAGTCGTGAGGATGAAGATAATTTCGGTGATCAGGATTATGATGATGTTGGTAATGGTCATCTATTAATCATACATTTGATTACTTTTGATGATACATTAATGCTGTCATTTGCATAATTTCTAACATGGTTTTATCATTACTTTACAGCCACTCATCCATCTGGCCCATCATATCACTCTCTACCACCTTCATACAATCACTCAATCAATGGAACAAACCTGCCTCCTTATCAGCCAATCAGAGATGAGCCAGAGACGTTAAGCGGTACAGAAATTTCATGAGTATCTTTAAAATGTTAAATCTGAATGGTTCTTGGCATTGAATTTGACTAATCAAAAAAAGTATATATAAATATATTCAGGTTATCTCCTATAAATGTTGGATAATAAACCATAACTCGCTGGTCATTTTGCTAAATTGCATATGGACGTGGTCCTTGACTGGTGCAAAGGCACTTAGTTCACATCATTCCACATTGACAGAGGATCTTATGAACCATGAATCATCTGTGTAACCCCCTAATTTAGGTTCCACGTTTGTCTTGATAATATAAAGTTAGTACGAATGCATAAAGTAGAAATGTATGACATAATAGACATAAAATAAGTTGTTATTTTTGAATATTTCGAGCAGTCCTGTGCTCTTCCTCAGCGATAACATGTATGATTAAAAAATTCTTTGATACTAGCAAACATGAATAAACAATTTAAGCAGTGACTATGATAGATCGTTAGTGATAGCAACTAAAGACGAATAACATGTGGCGGCAACAACAATGAAGATCATGATAAACAATTAATCAGCCGGCTAAAGGCCTATGATCTCTGCATGATCTCGGTTGCTAAAGGAAATAAATAGACACTGTATATATTCATATATACAGTGTTGGATTAAAGGACATGAGGATGGATTTACTACAAAAATTTCCTACCAGAATGTAAGGTTTATGCAATTAATAGCCATACTTTCACACTCCGTAATATAGTTTCAATTGCACATCGTTTTTTTTCTCAGTTTCATTTTCAAGATTTGTCAAGAAGTTCCTTTTGTGCTTCTCACTAATCACTAATGGGTCAAAGATATTGAAGCCAACTCAAGGACAGAGCAGTTTACACGCCCTCAACGGTATCCGGGTTCTCAGCTTGTTTTGGGTTATCCTCGGACATACATACTTTTTTCCGCTCTCGCTTTTCTGTAAGTTTCGATGGATATGTTTTGTTTTTTGCATGTCTAAATTTTTGTTGAAAATACAAATACAAATAAAATACAACAGTAATTCTTGATGTTAGATAGACTTACCTCGAAAAATTAATGACTTAATATGTCTACCTTAGCATTGACAACATAAAACAATGAGTAATCACACAACAATCAATTTTGAAAATCTTCCAATCCACTTGTAATAAATATAAAGGATAGATATTCTATGAAAATGCGTAAAAGGTAAGAATAATAAATTCAATAAACAATATATATATATATATATAATATGCAATAGGTATTATTATTATCATTATTGTTTTTTGTTATTGTATGTTATTAATAGTAAAAATGAAAATGAAAATCATCCACTGGTAATAAATACAGAGGATAAATATTTTAGGAAAATTTGTTTGTTTCCATCGGAATAGGGATAAAGCAACTTAAGTGAAAAGTAAATATGTAATAAATAAAGAAATAATACAAATTAAAAAAAAAAATACAATAAACCATGCAATAGATATTATTTATTATTTTTCGTTATTGGTTCTTATTAATAATGAATTTAACAATAATAATTGTCATCATCATTACTGTTGTTATGAATTTGAGTTAGATTTACCAGAATGAAAGATCTATACCAGTCTCCTTTTGAGCTACCGTAAATCCTCGAGTAAGCACTGTGGTGCTTATAAAATTTTTGTAGGCTTCAGTGCTGAGCGATGTTTCGAATCTGTCGTCACTTGATATAACAAAACATTTCACTTTCAAATGTTCCAATTATTTAAAGGAGAAGTTTACCAATTTCATATAATTTTAGTGCTGATAATAGCTTACATAGTTACATAATATCCGATTAATTTGCAAGGAAAATTAGATATTATTATTTTTGATATTCTTATTATAAATAGTGTCCTGGGTATGACGTTAAACTGGATCCATTCAGAGCAGGCAGGTTATTTGTGGGGTTAGTCAGTCCAAACTAACTTCTACAAAATGCGGACAAGAGACCGTATAAAACCTTCTGTGACTGGCGGGATGGTTGGCGCCATAAAGCCAAGCGTCCCCGCTGGGTGAGGGAACTTGTTGCCTTGCAAGGAGGTCTTGAATGGCCAAAGGCTAAGCCCACGCCGAAAACTCTGGACGCGGAATGCGGACTGGCGACCATTTGACTATCTAGCCTTTAGTTATTACTATTAAGTTTTTACTGTATTATTTTTGTCATCATCTTCTTGCAGCCAACCCATTACAAATCGTTCCGATTTTGTCAAGGTTCTCCTTCCAAGCTGTTGGTAATGCCACATTCTCCGTTGATTCTTTCTTTTTCCTGAGGTAATTTCATCATTTATATCTATATATTTTATTGTTTGTGTTGTAAAATAGAACCTATCATTTACATTTAGCAGAGGACCATTTTGTGATTTGTTGTAGACATTCGATTGTACAACACAAACGTAATGATTTATGTGTCAGATAATCTCTAGTCATTTACATTTGCAGATTGGAAATATTCTATATGTATTTTTAATTTTAAAACAAAAAGAAAATACTTTTAATGTGTGAAGTAAAAACTAGACCCTTTACCGGTTCTTATTTTACTCAAGAGCTAGTTTTCTAAAATATAATATGTTGTGATTTGGAGTGCTATAAATTTACCATATTTAAGGAAGGTGCATCAGAAGCTTTAATTTGGAACCCTTTATATAATTGAGAATTACTGCTGTATATACGCCCAATAAAAAATATTCTCCGCCCACTTCACTTTTGTCAAAATATATTATTATTTTAAAAGTAAAATATGTTTTTCTTTCTTTGCCATGCTTATCAATTTGGCATGAGAAAAAGCATTCAAGTTTTACAGAGAGGGTAGTATATGTTTTTAATAAGTATTCATTGATTCATCAATTCCTGTTTTTGTAAAATTATATTTTTACCAGATAGAAACAAGATATGCAAGTTTCATAAATACAAATATTTATGAGGGGTGTGAGCACAGAAATAATGCTCTACTGTACATTGAAAACTAAAATAACCATCATAAATAGTAAAATTGTTTTTAATTCTAATAATATAAAACAAGTTAATAATAAATATATTGTTTTCTAGTGGTCTCCTGATTACCTACCTTACACTCAATTATTTGAAGAAGAATAATGGAAGTTTGAATTGGGGCATGTTTTACCTGCATAGGTATCTTAGGTAAGCACCCTATTAAATATATGTTGTCCATGTTGAGGAAGTAGATTGATAATATTTTTGAAGTGTTTAGTGAACGCTAATAGTTTTCAATTGCAATTCGAATTAGATTTTCTTCCGCCCAAGTATTTTTACATAATATTTTTTGTATGAATTTCATAATTTTTTAATCTGTAAAACATTGAAAACTATAATTTGGAACTGTGTCACAATAGAAGCAGTTAATAGTTTTTGTGGTATTTGATGTTTGTTATATTAATTAATTACTTATTATTAAATGACAAATTAGAATTTATCCTAGTCACAAACCAGTGGTTGCAAGATAAGATCATTTTTATGTTTAATTTTAAAATTTCCATTCTGTAAGTGACAATAAATGACATAAATAAATAATGAATAAGTTTATGGTCCTTATTTCCTTAGTAACTTAATGTTGTATCTTGACAGATTGACACCTGTATATATGCTGGTGATTTTCATCTACACAACACTAACTCCTCATTTTGCCACAGGGCCGATGTACTCGGCTGTTTTTGACCCAAATCCTGTAGGATATGAAAACGGAATGACATACTGTCAGAAATATTGGTGGACAAACATGCTCTACATTAACAACTTATACCCGACTGCATTAGGGGCAGAGGTCAGTCCTATGGTTTTGGTACAAATTTTATTTTTGAATTTATCATGACTATTTATCACATTCATTTTGAAATGTACCATAATGCATTGTTATTGTTATATAATGTTTTTTTATATTGTGACTAAACTTAAGAATCAAATATTACCTTCCTTGTTAGACTGTTAAAAAATTATATCCAATGTGCCATTCCATGTTTTTTGTCTATATACAAACAAAAGCCATGTGTTTAAACATTATTGCAATTTATTATTATTTTCATTTCTTTCATCTCAATAAACCATTGTATAGTTTAAATTGTTGCTTCGGCCTGCAGTTGTCTGACATTGATATGCTCTGTGTGAGTAATTATGTGTGAAGTCATTCAGTCATGATCTTGTTTAATGGTATTGGTCAACTGAACCTGCCTTTACATTACAACAAGTCTAATTTGAGAACCAATCAAAACAAAAACAGGCTCTTGACTCAAAAAATGAAAAATGACATATTTTAGAACTTTGTAAACTAGAGGCCAAAAGCTAAGAATTGATGCAACATTTGTTTAAAGTGGTTATCAAATGGCAAAGATATGATAAGTTATATTTTTAGTCCAAAATGCATTATTATGGTAAATACATAGGAATTTTAACAGATTTGAAGACTTTCATTTTTGACAAGGCGTTCACATTCTGTTATAAGGGGTTTTGTATATTACTGTAAATAATTTTCATTCTTTTTTCCACAGTGCTTGGGCTGGTCGTGGTATCTTGCTAATGATATGCAGTTCTTCATCATCAGTCCTTTTATCATCTATCTACTATACCAGTAAGTTTTTGTAATTTTCAATTTTGAGAACTATTGATTGGTGTACTGCAAGCATTTATTATTGTCATATTGTAAACTGTAAATATCATATTTTAAACTGATTAATTACCAACATAATTATAATTTAAAATGTTTTTTATTAACAGTTATGCACCTGTTGGCATCAGCATATGCATTAGTCTGCTGGCTATGTGCTTTGGGAGTTTGATTGGCTTATCAATTGCCAAGGACATTCAAGCAACCCCCTTTCCATTGTATGTATCTTTTATTAATATTAATAATGTCTTTTTTTTATTTATATAGTAAAGGTATTTGGGTGTACCTCTAGTTAGTGCCTTCAGAGACCAATTCATTCAATGCCACAATATCCTCACAGATACCCATTCTCTATTTTGGCATCCGGCCCTGAACAACAACTTGTAGGACTGAACGTTCCTTGCAGGCAATGTGTTAATGTCCACTTTTTTTGCTATTACTATCTTGAATTGTATTGACTAAAAGAACATATAGATTATGCAATTTTTCCTTTTATTCTTATTGAATATTACAATAAATATCTTTGTTTGTTGGATGTAATACCCACCTCTTCTCTATCCATACTGACTTATTCCAATTTGTGCTGTGATATCTTCCTTGCAATTCTAGGGGGTTACGCTTTTTTACTATTACTCTAAAAGAACATGTGAATAATGCATTTTTTTGTCATTCTTATTGAATATTACAATAAATATCTTTGTTTATTGGATGTAATCCACACCTCCCATCCAGCCATACTGATTTATTCAAATTTGTGCTGTGATATCTTTCTGTGTGATTCTAGAGATCCTACTCGTGAAAACTTCCTTGGTGATGACCTCTACCAGAAGCCATATACACGCATCAGTACTTACCTTGTCGGCATGGCAGTGGGCTACATTCTGTATCGCTACCATGGTCGAGTTAGGATGCCCAGGGTATGTAGCAGAACTTCATAAATTTGAAGACTCCTGTGAATATATCGCAAAGATACAAAGGAATCAAGATTGCACATGTTGCTTTATTTTTGCACCCTGTTTCTTTGTATTATTGCTTGTTGTTGAAGGACAGGATACAAGTATTCTGTATGTATGAATGTTGTAGTTCTTAACACTAATATATCATTCTTATTCACATAAATAATTAATGTATACAATGTACCACAACATGGTAACATTACATCCAGAACATAAGTATCCTTTTTATAAATATTATTGTTTGTAATCGTTCCTTGCCACCAAACATTAATGTGTATGATGGAGTTTGGCACTATGAATTCTTCAGATTATTTATTTTTTGTGTTTCAAGCAAACATACTCCAAATTGACATACATGAAAAGTGAAGTAAACACGGTGATTTTATCTTATTGATTCATATCAAAAACTACTGTAAAAAAACATGCAAAATGGATGAAAATTTATGCAGATTTTCAATCACTGCCAATCCTTTGAAAAAATTAATTAAATCATTATACTTATATATTAAAAGTAAAAGGCAGATGTTGTAGCATTTAATCTTGATGGGAATAATACATTTTCTCTTCAGTACGTAGCGATTATTGGTTGGTTGATTGCAACTGGAATTGGGTTGTCGGTGGTATACGGGCTTTATGGCACAATGCACGGACATGAGTTAAGCAGGGGAGCATCTGTGATGTACATTACATTTTGTCGCTTTGCATGGGCCATTGCCCTCGGCTGGGTCAGTTTTGCATGTATTACTGGATATGGAGGTGAGATGTTTTTTTACATATATTGTATATATATAACCTGTATTACACATGTAGAGCATTAATACAAATTAGAGCCAGAAACTCAAATATCGGCTTGGTTTGGCACACACAGTGATTACCAAAGTTTTAGCCAGCTGCACTATGCGGCTTTCTTTCCATAGGAATCAATATGTATAATGCAAATAACAATAATAATTACAGTAATAATAGATACATCACTCCGTATGTTGTAAACTTTTTTTGTAGGCCCGATAAATACCTTGCTCTCATGGTCTTTCTGGATACCACTATCCCGAATAAATTACTGTGCATATCTGTTGCATCCAATCATCATGATGGTGTTCCAGTATTCTCTACCAAACCTAATCTATTTCTCAGATTTTCTATTGGTAAGTACTATTACTACATCAATTTACTATTCATTGTGGCGAGTTGGATGTCCGAGTGGTTAGTGGAACCTACAGCCAAAATATTGGCGCTGGTTTGAGCGGCACGCTCGCCTATGGTTCTGGTGGTGGAACAAGTCTTCTCGGATAAGGACTACAAACCGTAGGCCCAGTGTACACAATTTGGCTTGTGTGCACTTTAAAGAACCCAGTACATCTTTCGAGACAAGTAGGGAGTTTCTGGTCCATACAGCCCCTGTTGCGAACAGATGAGAGTACCTCTTACCGGGTAGCTCAGACGTGAATAGACCCTTAGGGGAGAAGAAAGTTACTGTGCGAGCTAGTCCACAGTGTTTTGAGACTTGGGTATAAATCACTATATAAATCGAATTACATAATATTACATTACATCATTGAGGATAATTTTCAGATTATAGAATACTTCCAAAGTGGCCATGCAAAAGTGTTGTGGTAATATTAACATCATTGCAATATTGTTGTATTGTAACATTTTTTTCATTGTGCATTTTGTTAGAATTATTTTAAATTAAAACAATACTAAATACTAACCATAATGAAAAAAATAAAGGATTTATCTCAATTTGAACAACCATCAACTTTATTACATTGAAATACTTTTACACTGTATTACAAGGCAATGTTTCTCTGCACAAAAATTGCATTGCATTAAAGCACCTCAGAATAGCATGTTAGATAGATGGTGCATTATAAGTGATGTTTTTTTATTATTAGGCATTTGAAGTAGATTTTTCGGAAAAATGTTAATTAATATTTTTGCCTCTTTTTTTTTTTAACCACAGATCTATTTCTTCTTGGGAAACCTTGTGCTGTCTTATAGTGCAGCTTTCATCCTATCAATATGCGTAGAGGCACCATTTATGGCTCTTGAGAAGCTCATTCTTAAGAGGGATAAGAGTGTCTAGAAACATCACTTGGCCATCATGTGATTGACTAGAAACATCGCATAACAATCATGTGATTGACTAGAAACATCGTATGTCCATCGTGTGATTGCCTGGATACAACACATTACCATCATGTGATTTTCTAGCAACAATATGTGATGTCGCTAGACCATCATGCGATTGTCTGGCAACATCACATGATCATCTTGATTTTCTATGATTATCACCTGGCCAACATCTGATTTTTATGTAGAAAGATCACATAATATTTAGCAAGATACTTTCTCACATGGATAAAAATAAAATTTCACATAACTATATGAATCTGGTTATTCAGAATATTAGAGAGTTTTTACACTCAAACTGACACCTTCACCTACATTGATAGGTTTTGTTGTAAACTGATGTTATATTTGTTGTTCTGAAATTTGGTTGTGGGTAATTTGATGAAAACCAACACTTCTGAATCAAAGATTGACATTCTTTTTTAATATTTTAAATAGATGGCATAAATTTTAATCCCAACAAGCTGCTGGTGCAATCATTTTTATGACTTTTCCACATCCAAAAGCAGGTGCATGCTAAGTGTATGGTGAAGTAGTTTATAGTAGCAAAAAAAAAAAAATTAATTTTAGTTTATAAACAGATTGCTATGAAAATAATAGTCTAGTTAAGATACGATTTTTTCATTTTTAAATATTATTCATTATTTTTATACTCATCTGGGCGTATCTCGCTTATCCTTCATTGATCGTCTCCCACCTTTGAGTATGTTAAAGCTAAGGCAATTTCTTTCATAATTGTTGATGATGTCATCATGGTAAAAATGAAACAGACACAAGTATACATATCAAGGGTCAACTTTCGTGTGCCATTACTTACTTTTGTCAGAAAAGTGGATCACCTAACTCGTCCTAGTGATGAGTTTAAATCTAGTGTTGGATTGGATGTCTCTTGGTGGCAATTTGCACAGCATTGTGGCAGTTGTTATGAAAGAGGATGTTTTTGTCTCTTAGTGTTTTTTTTCCCCTGGATCAAAAAGGCTTCAGTACATTGCTTAATGTTTTCATCAATCAGTCAATGATTTTTATGGTGAGATTATTTGATAATCTGTAATTGCTGATTTGCATTTTTCAGACTGCGATTCTTTGTAAAAAAAAAAGGTAGCAAGTTATCTGTTTATGACGTATGAAATCCACACACAAAGATATTTTATCCAGTGCATAAACCCTTCTGTCTGAGTGTGAAGTCTCTTTGCCTCTTCAGCAAATTTCTATTGTTCAACTAACCCAATTTTTTTTAGATTTATTTTATATAAATGCAAGTCTACTTAAAATTTTCAAGAGAGGTCATTCTTATTCATAAGCTGTACAAATAAGAGGGAAACATTTCTTTTTTTATGAAAAAGCATTCTAATACAATAAGCATTATAAGCATTTTATAAAATTAAGTATAGTAATATGAACCAAAATAGGATTAACACAATACATCCTTATAAGGCAGGGGTGGGCATAAAAATCGGTCAGAGGGCCAAAGTGAACTTTTGATTTAACACCAAGGGCGCACCTAAACTTTGATGTTCCAGTAAGATTCCAAAAACCTCCAATCACTGCTTTTACATCACCTTTATTCTCAGTTTTAATGTTACTTTTTACATATTATTGGTGTCGGGCCGTAAAATACAAGGTGTTTTCTAGCCAATTTTGATTGGCGGGCCGTAAACATAGGGTTTTTACTTCATTGTCACAGGCCGCAAAAAAGTCGCTGACGGGCTGCATGCGGGCCGCACTTTGCCCACCTGTGTTATAAGGTGAGGTGTATTATGCGCTATATAAATCTCTAACCGTTACCATCTTTAGTTTTAGTTTAGTTTAACATAACAAAAAATGAAATTGACATTATTTTACAGTATAAAGGTAATAGGTTTTCATCATCATTATCAACCTTCAGTGATTTCTTTGTATTTTTGCAATTTCCATTGTAGTCTAGTTTACCATATTCCATCAAAATGTAATGCTTTGCATTCCAATCAGCATGTAATATTATTGCAATGTGTATGTTTTTGGTATACACTATGTTAAACCTTGCTACTGTATCAGCTTCTGGGGTTTAAAGAATAATGATTTACTTGATCCTCAATAGTGTAATATGATGTTTGATAAAAGCATTTGAGGCGAGAGTCAGGATTTTGGAAGAATGATAATGCATCTGTGTATATATAGTTAAATTTAAAAAGAATATATTATTAATTGTGAAATATGTAAAGCAATAATTTCTTTCTTTTTTTCATAAATTTTATATAATTTTTATAATAACTTCAGTGGACAAAGTTATTGTATTTTGATTTTTTCTTTATTTCTAAATGAATCATGTGACATACAAATTAGGAAGGGTGGAAAAATACACACAAGTATGCTTGCTTGTAAATTTTGTCACTTATGCAATAGCCTGTAGGCCCAATGACTTAAATTTTCTGTTGCCTAAGTCTCTCCACTTTTTCTTATTGACAACACTAGTATATATAGGAAAAATTATTAGTATATTATACTACCATATTTATTCGAATAAATTATTTCAGGAAAAAAGCAAGGGAAGCGTTTATTCGAATAAATGTGGTACTGTAAGTATTTTTCTAATTATGGCCGGTATGATAAATCTTTTCTTTTTAGTCATAAAGAATGATTGAATTGTATCAGTTGAAATAATAAACCATGTTTATAATGTACACAAATATCACAACATAAATACACAATCAAAAATGTAATTGGTTAAGAACTGTTACATATAGTAATTTTCAGTTGACATAAATAGTTATAATAGCTTATACTGTGCCTTTTCCAAGAGATGCAATGCAAGTCAATTTATTGTAAGATAATTACTTTGAGAAAGTATATAGTGTAATAGGGCACAGCAATCATTTTATGAAAGTTGGGGAATTATATTTGACTCTGCATAAAATAAACTTGTAATATTAAACAAAATGAATAGTTACTGTTTAAAATATTACTAATTATACTGTATATGATCTCAGGTTTTAGTAACATATTTTAGATGTTAAAAACAAATGTACTGATGATAACAATAAATCGCATTTACTACCAATCACACAAGTATTTTATTGATTCTGCATTACGAGTGGCGTCAGCATTCCCCGCAGTGTCATATCTAGAGAGGTGCAAGCTCTCCCACACCCCCCCCCCACCCATTGAAAATGTTTAAAGCAAAAACAAATCATGCTCGCGTAGTTAAAAATCACCTTTATAACCTTGCATCTTCATTCATCATTCTTGCCCAAACCTTGCATCTTCATTCATCATTCTTGCCCAAACCTTGCATCTTCATTCATCATTCTTGCCCAAACCTTGCATCTTCATTCATCATTCTTGCCCAAACCTTGCATCTTCATTCATCATTCTTGCCCAAACCTTGCATCTTCATTCATCATTCTTGCCCAAACCTTGCATCTTCATTCATCATTCTTGCCCAAACCTTGCATCTTCATTCATCATTCTTGCCCAAACCTTGCATCTTCATTCATCATTCTTGCCCAAACCTTGCATCTTCATTCATCATTCTTGCCCAAACCTTGCATCTTCATTCATCATTCTTGCCCAAACCTTGCATCTTCATTCATCATTCTTGCCCAAACCTTGCATCTTCATTCATCATTCTTGCCCAAACCTTGCATCTTCATTCATCATTCTTGCCCAAACCTTGCATCTTCATTCATCATTCTTGCCCAAACCTTGCATCTTCATTCATCATTCTTGCCCAAACCTTGCATCTTCATTCATCATTCTTGCCCAAACCTTGCATCTTCATTCATCATTCTTGCCCAAACCTTGCATCTTCATTCATCATTCTTGCCCAAACCTTGCATCTTCATTCATCATTCTTGCCCAAACCTTGCATCTTCATTCATCATTCTTGCCCAAACCTTGCATCTTCATTCATCATTCTTGCCCAAACCTTGCATCTTCATTCATCATTCTTGCCATATGCTCTTAGTCTTGCTTACAACCAGGCCCTTGATCCCGCTAATATCACCCCTACTGACATTAAGGCAGCTCTTAATTTTCAAGGTTTACTTTATTGTTCTTGCCTAAGAAGATTGCCATCTTTTTGTTATTTTATTATTGTTATTTTGTGATTGTAAATTGTGAGCTAGGGCTTTCACCTATTTCATCCTCAGGCCAGTTGTCCCTGACTTAAGTATTCACACCAAATTCAAATTTCCGGATCAGAATGCCTACCTTACCGATCAGAAAATCTGATCAAGTGTGTAAGAATACTATAGGTATGCTGGTGTGCAGCGCATCAGAAACGCGGTTTGAAATTTTGTTCGCATCAAATTTGCCAGACAGGTTTTACCGTGACTTCCTAACACCTGGTGTTCATGATAACCTCTGCTATACTGTGTTCTCACAGGTTAAGCAGGGGCTTGATCCGGGATCCCTAAATATATTCTTTTATTTGCTCCTGCCAGGAGAGCCCCCTTTTTGCAAGCCACTAGATTTGCTACTAGGACATTATGTATTCCATATAAGATTCTGTCTAAGAGTCCATGAAAAGTAAGTAGAAAATGTGTTTCTTGAAACAGGGGTAATTTAACTCGGTAGGCAGAGCGTTGGAATAGTACATTATTTGTAGATATAACAGTTAAAAATAACCAAGAATTGCACAGAAAATAAACTAGAAAAATATGTGAACAGAATTTAACTGAATGTGTAATACATTAACGCCACCGTAGTATAAAAGTTAGTCTGTGTGTGCGTGTTTAAAAATGAGCGGACAAATTTCTAAGTCTGAATTTTGTGTGGGGATACTGTATTATATTCCTCAGTCTGGGTACAGTTATCAAAAATGTGGCTTGTTTGGTTGCTTTAAAATATATATGGGACTTGCCTTGCTAAAATCACCTTTTAATATATTCATATTTCTCCACACAATAAGCTTTAACATATGTCAGTTACAGTACTAGAATTGACTATATATGAAAAAAGTCTCCTGTTAGCACGAGTAAACTGCAGAAACCAGCAGTTTACAGGAAAAATTACTCTAAAAATAGTCTATAATCGGACAAGATACCATTGGATTCTGTCAAAGCGTAGGACCAATTACCAACTCTCTGTTAAAACTTGTATTTGGCATGTCAGTCAAATGAAATGAACCTTCCAATACCAACTTTTAAATGTTTGTACTTATATGATATATTTTAATTAACTGGTAACTCTGTATAAAAGTTTCAAAATACATTCCTGAACCAAGTGATAAATTGTATGTTCCCCATTATTAATAATTGCTTTATACATTATGATTACAGTAAACATGCACAGCTCAAAAAATAATATATTCACTTTTAGCAAGTAAAGTAAATAGATTTTTATAATGAAGCTATCAAATTCTTGTAAATTGTGAGCTTTGTATCTATAATGCAATGCTATAAAACAAATCAACTTGCTCGGACATGTCAATTCCCTCAGGAATAGTTATACGAGTAGTAGTAGTACATTTGAGAAGGCACTTTTTAAAAATATGGGCACACTTTAAATAAATCACCAAGTAACTAGATTGGAAACTAAGGATTCAGTGAATGGTGATGATTTAGCTTGTATAACTTGATGTCTAGACATCCTTTGTACCTGTCCAGCAGGAATTAAAGCTATTGTAAAATAGTAATGCCTTCAAAATCAAACACTTTTAACCATTATTCATAACAAAAAAAATATACTAGAAACATACAGGTTGCAGGTTAAATTCCTTCTGAAAGTACTTTACATACATCAGTATGAAACCTTTGTTGATGTGCTAAGCTCATTTTTGCAATGTATCCTAAAGCAATCATTATAATTATTGAAAATTAAATTAAAAGATCTTAAATCAATTCTAATTGTAGAAAAAACAAAGTTACTTTAGGATATTCCAACACCAGACCCACCATGTCTCTTTTGAAGTTTATCTCAAGATCTGACATGTTCAAGTACCTAAAACGCGCGTATAATTTTAAAACCCCAAAAGTCTAGGCCGAAACATATTGTGTATCTGTCTCTGAACACGCACCAACTCCCCTAAACTTGCATACAGTACTTAAACATCATTCGTTCATGTTCTCAATTGCTCCAACACTTTAGATATGTTGCTGCTTTACAAAGCACTGTTAGACAAGATCGCAGAACACATACACGCTGCATGTGCATGGCTTGTGGACAGCCTGAAACGTTGTTTATTGTTGCGACCGGCTCTGGCAAAACCTGTTTTTTGCAATTTCTTTCCAAAAGCATTCCAAACGTTTAAGAATCAGGATTTTAAACATTTTCATGTTTTTGCATTTTACAAAAAAACAATCACTAAATCTGACTGAAAAGCACATTAAAATTATTTTTAAATACAAGTCTCATTAATAGGCTATTGATTTTGGAATCTTTGGAAGCTGTTATCTCATAAACTACATGGCTGATATCCAATGAATTAAATATTAATAACTTTGTTAATACTCAACCAATTTCCATTAAGTAAAAAATGTTTTAATGAAGAATTCATGTAGAATCTAATAACAGTGAAATCTCAATTTTGCATTTTTCCTAAACACGGCTGGTTTTGCCAGAGCTGGTCACAAGTTACAGATTGTAACAGTTGTAAAAGTAATTCTCTACAGTGACGGAAAACGCATTTTAGAGCATCTAAAAAGCAAATTGTGGGTGCATGCCCTGAAGCCTTTTAGGAGCGAAGTTTTTTTTCAAAACAAAAGTCTTACGCCTGCAAATTCATCATACTTGAAATTTGCAACAACCTTCACACACTTAAATCAAATTGATGCATCATCATTCCCATAAATGCTTGTAAAATTTCACATATGCCACCATCACAGTCATATCGTGACCTCTTCAATGTTGTATATGCCATCATAACTACCATATAAGGTTTCTTGCACTTTTGTTTTTTAAAATTTCCAAAGTTCAAAATGTCAATGACTCTATCATCAAGTGTTCTCTGACTCTTCATCAAAGATGGTGTCTATGTTTCGCTTGAGGTTGGCAAGACGTTCTCCTTCATACTGCTGCTTCATTCCACGTGGCAATCCACGGCAGGATGACAAGTCAAGGCACGATAAGCGAGGACAACCATCAAGTAATGACCTATTAAAACAAATAAATACTTTTAACTGAACAAATTTATTTTTATTTACATTATTTCATTTTAAATTCATCCCTCTCCAACCAGGTACCAATTCATACTTCTGGGTGAAAAAAGGGATATATTGTTGAGTGGCAACCATTATGTAGTAAACTGTCTTGCCAAGGACACTAGTACCACACTCATAATCTCTCAATTGAAAACTTACAGCTTTCGTTTTATTATTCAAATGCATTACCTCAATATAGAAAGTATAGATTTAACTTACTTGACTCTCTGTGCTGTTATGGATGTTCCACTTAGGTTCAGGATTCGAAGATTTGATTTCTGAGGAGTACTGGACAACTTCTTCATGGCAATGTCTAGCGACATACCTGGAAAGACGTTCCATGACAAGTCCAGCTCTATCAAGCTGTGCATCCACTGTAAAGGAAAGAACACTAATATTAGAAACACTGGCAATCCAGTTAACTGGAATAAATTCAATGTGAACAATTAAATTATATTCAGTGCTAATTGAACTAACTGTAGGCTAGTGAAGGATTAATGGCAAACCTAGATTTAGTCCGGTTGATAAAAATCCAAATGAGACCTTTGTATTAAAGTTACAAATATACCAATTGTTTCATTCTACTTCTGTTTTTTTTTTTGCATGACTCGCTGCTAATCTTAACCAAGATAACTGGAATAGATCAATGTGAACACATCAAGTATATTTCTTTATCATACTTTCAAGATAAATTTCTGTGTACATGGCTATAGAGGGCTGAGCTTCAGTTCTCCAGTTTTAATGTGAATTTGGGTCAGGAATAGTTTTAAAAACAAATATTAAGATTTTTACCTTCTGCACAATTACAGCTATGCCTTCATACTTTGAGACTGAACATTGCGAGATGAATAGCTGTTCCAAATTATCTAATGATAATTTCTATAGAATAAAAATGTAAATCAAATGAATCAGTTATCACTCAATTACTATATACATACATGATCATGGTCATCTTCCTTTATTGGGTATACCATAAACTGCTTTTCTGAGTAGGCTAACACAGTGCTGTAATAGTTCTGTACATCGGAGAAAATACCATTCTCCTGCATTCTAATGGCACGAAAGGTTTACACATCTCTTCTGTAGTTTCAGCTGTCAGATAAAACACAAGAATCTCACTGTTGAGTTATATTTGTTTCCCTCTTCAATTTTTTTAGGTTCAGAATGGTGAGGGCTTAGTATCTCCTATACCCATCAATACGTTGCCCTGCACTAAACAGTTAATCATGGATCCAGAAATAACATTACTCTTATAATTACTCATTAATATTCTTTAACTTATATTTTCTCATCTATTTTTCCCACATTATATTAGTCACTGATGACCTATGACCCTTCTCTATAACCCCACCCAACAAAGATCCTACCTGAAGGACATCAGCTGTTATGTGTGTGCATCCGCGGAGGTCAAGGTGTTTTAATTTGCTGGATGTTTTTAGCAGACGCAGCAGCAATCCGTCAGTAATCCCTAGACTAATGTTAAGAGTTGTAGTTATGTTGACTGCTACACTAAGTTCTTTCAGTTTCGGAAAACCAAGGGATTCCTCCTGAAGCAAAAAACACATGAATTATGTTAAATATAGTTTACATTCATCAGTTTCAAACAATCGGAACCGATGTTGACAATTAGAATACATATAGAAAGAATTATAGATGGTGGTTATCTATAATAATTATATTTAATCAGTAAAATCTACAAATACAAAAAATTCTATATTCTGTTTTTCCATTACAGTACATACACTATTATTTACTTTTCAAAAAATAAAAAAACTCTGAATCGTCATTTCAAATGAGGGCTTATTAATATCACATTGTTTGTTCATCAAGAAAATAATGCTGTTCCCACACCTACAGAGAGCCCTCTGGCCCAGTTGGTTATGGTGTCTGTATTTACAACAGGAAACTGATGTCCTTACCTTCAGCCTCCTTGAGACCTGGTTTGCTCGCACCTTTGAGCCTGTCAGTCGTAGAACCTCGAGGCTTGGACAACCAGCTTGGAATTCCTCAATTGGAATCATGAGAAAGTCCGAGGAAAACTTGCAGTTTGATAGGTCCAGTAATTTCAAATTTGGACAGCATGTCTGTGTATAAAAGAGAAATCAGTTTTATTATTTCTAAAGGGTGTCCAATCATCAGAAAATTAACATAAGTTGTTTTACCATAAAGTCATCTTTTAAAAAAAAAAAAAAAAATGTTTTACAACTTCAACAATTATGTTTATAATTATACATTTTAATCTTCTGTAATTGCCACCAGAGGTATAACTAAGTCTTTGTTTCCATCATTAGAAGATACAAACACATAATTGTATGATTTATTGATGATTTACCATTAATGCTTTGAGTACCATTGGGAAGCTTCTCAATTGTGTCTTTGCGATGACAAACTCCTCTAAACGACTGCCACACTGCTCCACCAACTGCTTTAGTACTGCTGGAGCTACCGCACCAATCTGCAGGTACAAAGCAATAATTAATGTAATAAATAGGTAAATTATATATGGTTCATATCATAAACCTCTTTTAAAATTTACCAGCAAAAAAATGTAATCAGAGCCTATCCAATGTCCACTTTGAAATAACATACAAAATATGTGGATCCAAACAATAAAGTTGATAAACATCAGAGAATCGGGCAAAGCTAGGCCGAGGACTAACACATGAGACACTCGCAGGGGGATAACAGCCATTTTCCCTTGAGCTATTATTATTAATGTAATAATTTTTATTGTTATTATTTTTATATCATTAACCCAGTAAGACAGTTATCATATGCAATGTATCTATATGACAAATAAATAAATGATCAAATATCTGAAATATCTAACAAAGAAATCAGTTCTTAAACCATAACCATCAACCACCAACAACAAAACTACAATAGCAATTGCTTTATACACATTAAAGGAGGATGATCATCACTTACATTCAATCCCGACAAATCAACTGCTTTCAAGTGCTGACATCCACTTGACAGGAGACTGATTGACAGAGAAGTTAATTTGATGCAAGCTGTCAAGTTTATAGATTCCAGAAGTGGACATTTATCAACTACCAACTGGAAATAGAATTTTTTTTTAAAATCATATTTAGTCTCACATGAATTCGCCATGATTCAAGAAGTAGGGGTCTGGCTTGGTGGTTCGTTAAAGAAGCTCACTTACTTCACACGACGGTCGCTGACCGATGCGATTCCATGGAGAATGGACCATTTTAATGACGATCCATTCAGACTGTCACCGATAATCAGTAGACGGTGTCACATAATAATATTATACTAATATTATATTTTTTTATCTATATGGATTTCAATTTAGAAATTAAAAAATTGATCGATTGATTATATAACTTTAAAACATCTGTTAATTCCACGGATATGGTGCCACTAAGAAAATAAAATGGTAATGATGATTGGAAAAAATACTAATTAAAAATTCAAAATATGCTTTTTTAATGTCTAGATAGCTGCAATTTAAATGTTTACTTTATGGATATACACCATTTTCGCGATTTTGAAATGAAAATTTCTGATAACCTGGCAACCAACCACTGGGGGACTTTCAAAGGCCTAGCATTATGCTCTACTGTACGTAGTTACCATCACAGATTAAATCAACGATAGACCTAAATTACTAACGAGCACAAATATTTTAAAACAGAAAAAAAACCAAAATGTTTATATTGGAAATAAGCCTAAATCTTAAAAAGCTATTTCAAAGTTTATATATACAGTAATTAGCAAGATCGTATCTGTTGTCTACTGCTGCTATAGCAAAGGTCTAGCAGCGCTATCCGCTGCACGGTGCCCTATTTGTAACTAGCCAGCTGCTCAGGCTAGGCTGCTGGAAGTCCCCCAGTGAGTTGCGAGACGTTGGCGGTGCTGTTTCAAAATAAATGCGATAAAATGGTCTATTAATATATTTTCAACAGCTTACTCTATAATAATCACATAAAAAATACACACAAGATATATACTGTACATTATGTTTGTTACTGTTTTTAAAACTACAGCTAAAACAATTAACTAAAATAAAGTAACCTTAATTTCTTTGTCTGTTAACTTTGCACATAATGATAGATTCAGTATTTTTAGGCGTGACACACGATTCTCAAGTAAAATATTCAAAGTTTGTTCTATAGACTTGACCCAACCAAAGGAGAGGTCGATATGATGCCATAACGATGGTTTAGATGCAGCTTCACGCCATAGAGAACAAACTCGAGAAACTCTGTAAGATAATAAATAGCAAATAAAAAAATTAAAAGTATATTAAATAAATCAAATTCATTAGCTCACTGTTATTAAAGAATACTGTACATTGTTCAGATACTTTCCTCTACAAAATATCATGTTTTTTCAGTGCTAATCCCATATATTCCTTCCAAACAAATATGTTCTGTAAAACAGGTCTTCTAACTCTTTGTTAAAAAATAAACTTAAAACTTTTTTCTGGTCAGGCTACAAATATTTTGTTGTTAAATTACATTAATTATATAAAAATATTATTTAATTTCACGAATCATAGTACATGAAGAATAAAAATCAAGATGATGCATTCTTATGGTTAGAGGTCATCCATAATTTTCAAAAGAGTACAAAACATACTCTTTTCTGTTACCCCCTCTCTACCCCTGAAAGAGTACACAATAAAATGTTGACTTGTGTTATTTTGAGATCAACATTTCATGTTTTTCATAAAAGAGTACTTATGCCTACACTTGCAACCCCCTTTCCCCCTAAAGCATATGTTTTGTACTCTTTTGAAAATGTTGATAATTATGGATGACCCCTATAGTTAAAAATTCACATTCATATTGCATAAAAGACTTACCTACAAAGAAATGGTACAGCTCCGTTCTCCCGAACTCCAAGTTCAAATACGCGAACTAAAATCTCAATTGGAAGCATTTGACCCCAGAGTTGATGGCCACTCTTGGAGGGCATGCTTGCGTCCTCTTTCTGAAATCGTTTTGAAGGCGATTCAGACTGTGATGAATCAATGACCATGTTTCTTTTCCGTTTCATTATCTCTCCTTTTTGTTTATTCTTTGCTTGTTTTTTTCTCTGCTTTACATTACGTTGTTTTTTTTCTTTTGATTTTCCAAGTGCACTTTTTCGGTCTTTGCTTTTGGAAGAAATAAAATCAGCAGTAAAATTATTCAAATTTATAAAGTATTGAACATAACTTATTTTATCTCAACTTATACATTAAATGATCATGTATTTTACATTAGAAAACTCAGTTATCCTTTTAAAATTAATTGACTCCATATTAGTATTATGGTATTAAATACCTCACCTGTATATAAATATTTATGATTTTTAATAATTAAAATGAAGAATTTAGATTTTGAAGATGAGTCTCTTATTGACTAAACCTAGATGTTACACAAAACCACATGACAGGTGTCATGTGACAATCTGATTTGGTTCTGGTATTAATAGGCTTTGTCCTCTTTTCTTATCATCGATATTATTAATAGTTATCATTTCTTGATCTTTATTCCTACTTCCGTGAGAGTCCTTCCTCATCATCTGAAGGCTGATAATCTGAGTCTTCTTCATCAGAAGCACATTCATTTCCTTTTCGTGGGGCAAAAGAAAACAGAATTTCCTTCCCAGGAACTTTACGATATCCAAGGATTCCTCTCTCACTTTTTGGCATGGTTATTATTAGCCTGCAATACAGAAACATTTGAAACTATTTTTTTTTTTTTTTTATGACACTGACCGAGTTATATAATCAAACAAAAACAATGCCCCCACCTCCCACTTGACATCATTACAGTCATTAGGATATCCAAGCATGTACGTACTACTACAGGGTTTGAATGCAAAATACATTTGTAACATATAAACTATGAAAAAGTAAAAGTGCACTAGCACCTATTCAATTTTAACTTATATTATAAATATGGTAGATGCTTCGCTAGGCCCTTCTACAGTGACCATGTTCAATCTTGGTTCAATTGATGCATGTAGAAGCCATAGGAAGCATAGCCCTCCCTTGTGTAGTATGCCTATAGAATAGGCCTAGTGTCTAGGCTAGGCCTATATCGTAAACAAACAGCGGGAAGTCGAGGCTAGGCCTAACTTACAGTACCTTTGTAGTTCAGCAGTGTGATAATGATGAAGCTAAATTTTAAAGTCTCATAAAGGTACGCTTAATATTATAGTGTATGTTAAAATGGAGTCATACCCGTAATCTAATAATACACTTTACTTATAAATAGTTGCAGGTAGCCGCCACACCAACATCACAACACATCACATCATCCATCATCGGGCCGCCGGGACAGGTCAAGAAACATATGAGGGCGCTAAATATGATGATTCTAGTTTGGTTTGGTTCCCAAAGCCAGCATCAAAGCATCAACTCAAACACACCACAGCCACACTTTTGACGGGTTGGTTTGGTAGGAGGGTAACAGTGCAAGTGCATACCAAACGGTTGGTTTTCATTCTTTTAAGAGCTTCTAGTTGGATACGGGGTACGGACCTTCTTCTGTCGTGATTCGTATGTGAGTAGATATAATGAACTTGATTGAATAAGTTTTTGGTTTGTGTTACGATTGTACCTTCATCTGACAGACCCAGCAAGAAGGAGGGTAGTCGACCAAGGCACATTATTATTATTTTGATAACGGTATTCCGGTATCGACACACGTACAAAAGAAAAGTGTCACATAGGCCTAGGCATTTCTAGGCTTACCAATCGTTTCTGATGTGACTTATCATTTCGTTTTCTTGTACTGTAATAATAATATTTGAAAATAGGGATTATCATTGCATACAGTCATATCCAACGATGAGGAGAGGTGATCATAAGTAATGTTCTGGATTGCATTCATTCCTTACATACTGTAGCTAGCAAGTGGCCCTAACCACTACTGTATGTAGTTCCTTGCCTAATTAGTACAGTAAAAAAGTAAGTTAGTATTAAGAACAGCTTTTATAAATTAAATTTTTCAAATGCATGTAGCTATTTAATTTTCTCCTTCGTATCTCCTAGTCCATGCTGAAATAACTCAAATTTGTACGTTGCTAGGTACGTGGAATTTGTAATATTGGCATGAGATGGGTGTATGCAAGGGGGAGGGGAGCGGGGTACGTACGACCCCCCCCCAAAAAAAATAAATTTTTAAAGGTCCACATTTTTTCCTAAGACATTTATTTCTAGGGCCTTTTCACAATTACATAAATGAAAAAGCATTGATGAGGTACCAGCAATGAGTCCAAAGACCTTGCCAATTGCGTGACGTAATCTATCTCAATTCCAGCAATTCTGAAACTGAGCCTGCCATCCGCTTCAAGCTGGTGGCGCTGTAATCAATTTTCCTGCCTCCCACTGTAAAGGTCCAAATAATTATGATCATGACCCACCAAGAAAAAATCCTGGATATACCCCTGATTGGTTGTAATTTGTACTGTACTGGGTTTGGCTCATACTTGTATTGAAACCGGCCACAGTGTAAATTTCAGACTTTTTTAAAAATTTGCATTCACTAGGTCTAAATTGTATGGAAGATATATTTTACAATCTACTGTAGGCAGGGAAGCATTGTGTTTGCATTTATAGTTTATACTACAGTCAACTCTCCCAATACCGACCACCCTTCGGACCGTCCACTTTGACCGGTTTAGAGAACGTCATGTTTACCTACCTTGGTTCCCCGACCTTGAGTACTGTGTAGGCCTACTGACCTGAGGACGTCATTTATAATTCATGTTTTACTTTATTTTTACATTATTTATGTTGTACGTACCTATTTTTTTGTGTCGAAGTCTATTATCAATAAAAATTTACACAAATCAACTTGTGTATGTGTATCGTAATTTATAATAAGTGTCAGTGTTATTTTTCGTTCAATCGCCATTATCTGCTTCGCTTCAACGTGGTTGCACGCTTGATTGGTTTTCGATGCCGCTGGCATAACCTTGGAGGGTCACTAAATGCTAAAAATAAGTGCTAACTTATGCAGCGCCTCCTAAACTGCGTCAGCCAATAGAAAACAGTCAGAGGTGACAGTCAAAGTGTCATGCACAATTGTTTTTATGAAATCGATAGCCTTATGTTGGGACCGCTCGGTTTGCCTTAGCGTGAGAATGAATGCAAAATGTGAGAAAAGGATACGTTCCTTAATAAAGAAAACACACTCATGAACTTTTTTTATCAGTTTTTTAAAACGAATGTTATAAACTATTGGATTTCTTTTGATCCATAATTTTAGCGCTAGGCATTCAGATAATGAATTAATAAAAAGAAAAGCCCAAAACATGAATAAAAGGAAAGCATTATGTATCAAAACATAAGTCAATAAAACAAAGACACAAGTTTAAAGAAAGCACTTTATTAAAAACAAAAAGACAAGTCTGTTTGATTTTTCTCTTTATTTTAAACAATGAAAACCAGCCTAAATAGAAGACGGTTAAAACAATGAACTTTTAAATGCGCTATCGGCGTGTCACGCGATTAATGCGCTATCGGCGTGTCACACGATCAACACTAACGATCGTACACATGGTGTTGTTCTGTGATTAATAGTTGTTATTTAGAGTCAGTCGATGTGTCTCCGATGATTTATTTAACATATTTCGTCAATAAATCATCGTTTTAAACTGGCCGTTCGGTTTTCAGAAGGTAATTTTATCATTCCGGGCTTAAGAATTTGTTCGGAATTGGGAGATCCGGTTTTCAGAAAGTATTTTAATACAGTAAGAATAGGAATGATTTTGGGACTTTCAAAAACGACCAGTTTTGCGTGAAATTCGTTTTTTCTGGGTGGTTGGTATTGGAAGAGTTGACTGTACTTATATTTATACACACCCTTGGGTGAATCAAGTTTTACCGTGTTGAAATAAAGTATTTATTATTATTAATCTCATGATTCTGTACAGTAGTCACACCAATTATAATATTTGCATAGATTTCAACTGTCTCAATCACTGTTGACATTACTTTTCAACTTTTAGCATCTGTCAGTGGCTCTTTCGCCCAACCCAAAAATTCTGCTTTTTAACCAATTTTGTGCCATGATAAATTACAGTAATATCAGGCATTAAACAAACCTTCATTGTGATGATATATTACTGAGTTTGATAACATATTTGTTCGTTCCTTCGAATCCATAATCACAGGAGGTGTTTAAAAGTGTAGTTTCCTTTAGTGAATAATCATGTATAATGGATTATAGTTGCTGTTATCAGTTGACTGGAACAGTTGTAGCAGGGTCACCAGCGCACAGATTAACAGCATGACCCCTGATAACATGTATCCCTCTTCTATTGCTTTCCAAACTTTCTTTAACAGGGGTGTAGTTTGGCTTTTGCCTGGGTGGGGACGAAAAATGTGAATGTGGAATTAAATCCCAGAATGTGGGAGTAAATCCCTAATCCAATGAAAACTTAATTTTTAGTAAGGTTGGTATACAAGTGGGTTCTCCGGGGCTGAAGCCCATACTACAGTAATGCTTTTTTTAACTCTGTGTTTATCTTATACCCGCGGATGTGAGATGAGGTCTCTACAGTTTACTGTATGTTAACTATTGTTTGTTTCTGTTTTCTTTTCTAGTTGGAGAGTTTTGCATAGTGATTTTTTTTTTGCTTTTTGACAGTCTGCTAGAATAGAGTAGTGCTAGGATTTGTGATGTTTTTATAAAGATCTGGAAAATAAATAAATGGAAATCATTTAATTCATTTTGATCCATCTTTTTTTGATCGCCATCTCTCTTCTGAGCAACAGAATTGTATTTTACCAGACAAGCCATGAGGGTCAAATTTTATAAATCTAATACAATGATAATCAATGCATTACAATTGTGGAAGCATATGTTGAAAATAATAGTTTCATGATTGTAGTGGCCCTTTAACATGTGCTATGATACTGTACCTCAGTTACTATACCACACCAGAGTGCTAACTAATAACTGCCAAAGTATTTGTGTTTATTCATCTTTATAGTGTCTGATATGCAATGTTAGAGTACGGGAAGGTGGGAGGGGGGGGCAGATTTAATATGCTGGCGCCACCACTGACGTACTACATAGGATTTACTAGAGTAATGTCAACACAACATTGTTTAATGTGTGCTTGCTTTAGTAAAATAACTATGGTGCAGTGTTTTGGAAAAATGTTCAGGAGAATAAATTTCAGTATTTTGCAGGATCAAACAATTTGTCTATAATTCAAGCACACATAATATTGTTTTTAAAACCCTATGATATATCACACAATACTCCACCTACCTACTGTACCTGTGCTCTAGAGAGAGGCCATGTCATACTGTAATTTTAATTGTGGAATTGTGATTTATCAGAAGCTGGTGTGAAACAGGAAGTATAATGCATGCATAGGTCTCAGGCATTTCAGACCCAGTCCATGGGGATCTAGTCAGTGGGTTGATAAATGATTGAGGAAGTAATATGTAAAATATGACTCAACTATTCATAGCCTAATCATAGTAATTGAATAATAATTACCCATGTTATTTATTGCTTGAATGTGTTATAATGGTAAATTATTTTTGAGACACAGGAAATAAGTATAAATACCATTCTTCTCAATTTTTAATTTGATAATAATAATAATAATAATGATGATAATAATAATAATAACAATAAATCAGTGTTATGATGCATTATCTATGTAGTTTACAACAATGTTTCATTCTTGGCTACGATGGTGCCATGCCAACAATGATAATTAGTTACTGTAATACTATAAGAAAAATTCTATATTATAATAGTATTAATCCAAACATGAAAGACATCCAATTTACTCCCTCATTCTTCTTCCTTTAAACTGCACAAGCTCAATTCTGAGCACTCAGGCAGTTGGTTTGGTTACCATAATATTGTTGTTAAATGATGTTGTTTATGATTCATGATTTTATAATCGTGTTTTTGATGTGTATAATTAAGAGTTTTTTGATGCTACACATTTTAGCCTCAGCTGCTATTTGTAATTATTTTATGTTTTTTATACCTAAATAAATAAAAAAAAATTTTGTTTAAATTACCTTCATTTTTTTTACAGAGCTTCTTTACTAAGTATGGAATCTTCATCCAAGTTTTGAATTATTGATTAGTTTGTAGCTACACTGTGAAGACGATTAAGAAACCAATTTGTGACAGAAACTAAAAGATTATCACAATGCCCAAAAGGAATAAATATAATTTGGTAGAGGATACGTACGACTCCAGAATTCCGCTGCATAATGACGAGGCTTTCCAGCAT